ATACACATCTAGATGTGTATAAGAGACAGGTATTGAGCTGAGACTGCTGATGTTCATAGCGGGAGGGGACCCGAGGGGAAGCACCGTGACTGGCCCGTCGGTCCTAATGCTACTGGCTGACCCCTGGCCGGTGTGGCCCACCTGCTGTAGCAGGTATGGCACCTGCTGGTGGGTGCAGCTCCCGCATGTTCCCTCGTTGGAGGCTTGAGCACGGATGTGGCTGCTACGGGGTTCCCCGCAATACTATAATGACAATAAAAAAGGCCTCAAAGGCCGTCCGTCCTGTCCAGATTTGACAGGTAATTGAATTGGTTGGGCTTAAAGAATTCGCGATTGAAAAAAAAAAAAAAAAAAAAAAACTGTGTGAACCAAGCTTGCTGAAATGCTCCAACTCAGCAATGAAGTTCCTCAGTTAAAAAAAAAAAAAAGCGCTCGACTGACATCCGACGGCCTTTCAGTCCGCGGGATCGTGTTGCGGTCGTCTCCCTCCCCTGCAGCGCCGTTCAGAAAACTAATGTGGGGGATTTTCTGCACCTCTCCGTAAGCACGTCCAGATTCAGGTGCTCAATCTAATCCTCTGTGCTGGTGGGACCTTGACCTGGGGCACACGGCACACCGGTGATCTGCAGTCAAGATTTAAAAAATAAATAAAAAAGAAAGAAAGAAAAAAAGAGAAAAACCCTTTCAGCCCACAGAGATTCGTTACCCGTCTTCCCCGGAAGAGAACGTACGATCATCACGGCTGTATGGAGACTTGAAGTTGCCCTAAATGCAGCTATAATGACTGAGCGTTCTATTCGCGGGGGAAGACGGTAAAATCCGGGACACGCTCCCAGTTCCATAACGAAAGATTCATGTGGGAAAAAAAAAAAAAAACTCGACGAGCGCAGTGAAATGCGATACTAAAAAATGAAGGCAAAAAAATAAAAAATAAAAAATAAAAATAACGGCCAATCTTTCCGCTACTTCATCCACGTGGGAAGCTTATCTCCATCACGTCACGAGATTCCTACTCCCCTCCCCCCCGCCCCCGTTCGCTGGCAGGATCATCCGTCAACCACCGTTCTTTTCTTTTTTTTCTTTTTTTTGCAACCACCTTTTCGAGGAAACACATCATATCACAGGAAAATCGCTGGCACCGTTCCCGTTAGTCCTACCCGCAAAACACAGCTCCGCCACAAGAGCATGCCTGTGCTCATGCGTGTTCTCATGTTCGCTATACACAACTCCGCCACAAAAGCATGCCTGTGCGCATGCGCACGTGCACGTGCATGTGCATGCGGGCATGCGCATGTGCATGTGCATGTTGCCAGGAGGAAGGAGGGGTGTGTCTACGATGATCAAGTAGCGATCTATTAACCTCCGTGTGAACTTGTGTGACTGGCGTGATGACGTGAGTGAAGGGGAAGACGATGAGCAATCTAATCCATGCAGGGAGTTAGTTTACCCTCATCACGTAGCCAATAAAGCGGAACAGGGAGGCGGAGAGTAGGAGGAAGAGTAGAGGCAGAGGAGTAGGCGGAGGAGGGGCAGCAAGAGGGTAGCCAACGGCGCGGAACAGGCACTGGAGAAGGAGGCGGAGGAGGCGGAGGAGGCGGCGGAAGACTGGGAACAAGACAGTGCACGAAAGGAGAGCGGGGTCGTAACTGTGTCGCCGAAGGTTCAAGGGAGTCGCATGCGCGCGCGCGTGTGGGTGGGGGTTGGGTGGGGGGGGAGGAAAGCCGCGTCGTGTCTCTCGGCGCACGATCTTTCCGGCTTTACCTTGTGCGTGAGTAGGCGTCGACCCGTGTGCGATGTGTGTGCATGCGCATCTGGGTCCGTTTTAACAGTACGTGTCTGGAAACGGCAGCAGTGGAGCAGGAAAAAGGAGGAGAAGTGCGGATACTCCCACACGTATACTTCGCCATAAAGAGGAGGGGAGCGCGAGCTGTGCAGCTAGACGAGGCGAACACGATGCATGCCGATACGTACCGTGGTCTTTCATCCAAAACTGAGGTCGCGCAAACCTCATCAACCTCCGAAGATGTTCAGATGTGTGATGGCAGCAAATCCACACAGGTGTATCTGCGTACAAACCTCTCTCTCTCTCTCTCTCTCTCTCACACACACACACACACACACACACACACACACACACACACACGAACGACCAGATCAAATCCACACAGGTGTATCTGCGTACAAACTTGTCTCTCTCTCTCTCTCACACACACACACACACACGCACACACACACCAGGAGCGAGTTCCCGCTTGCCCGGATCGCGGCCACCACGCCAGGAGCGAGTTCCCGCTTGCCCGGGTCATGAGATATTCGCCATCGATCTTCGTCATCTATCGACGGTCTCTTGTAACCCGTGCAATGCCGTGCAATCCGTGCAAATCGGACCCTGGCCTGGGTTGCAGGAACGGCAGGAAATTGGTTGCAGAGCGCGCCGGCATGAACCTCACCCGTGCGCGCTGGGTTGAAGTACCGATGCCGCAAGCCTTGCCGGCGAACACAAATGGGATCTACAGTACAAAGAGCTGCCATCGGGCGGTAGCGCTACAGCTTCCCACATAACCGCAGCGGCGACCAGACCGCGCCGCTGCGGCGGAATCCCGATAGCTTCCAGAAACTGCGGAACTGCGCCGCTCCGGGCCCAACCAGTGCGCCCAAAATATCCTCAGGGCCTCAGCGGGCTAAACAATATAACAGAGTAAATAAATTGAAGTAATAAAAAATGATCCCATCAAATGCACAGATATTGATGTGTAGCCTCGGAACATGAGCCTGATTATAATTCCTTTCCGGGGGAAAAACTGGGCTACCAGAGTGGCCCGGGACCACTTGCCCGGCCGGGCAAAAAAACATTACATATATTTTATTTTTTAATTTTAAATTTGGTCTAAAGTCTACACATGTCTGCCTGCCGCTCGGTAAAGAATTTCGATGTGAAACTGCGGCAAAAAAAAAAAAGAAGTCGCTCAATTTATTTTTCTGCATAACATCGTTCTTTTGCTGTTTTTTTTTTTTTTTTGCTATGACCTTACGGCCAGGCCGCCATGACTTATTATTTTCCTTAATAATATCTTATCTTACAGTGCTATTATTAATGTATACTTATTATTACAATTATATAATATATTGACGAACAGGTTACACACGGCCTTCAGCCCACCATGCACACGCGGCATTCAAACACAATATTTTCCTACAAAAAAATAAAAAACTTTTTTTGTTTTTTGTTTTTTTTTCCCGCTGATGTGACTCAGGGGGGGGTGCCTTTCGCCGCAGACGCACTGCGCGTCACGTGCACTCTAGGTAGTGAATCCATTTGTGGCTCTCGAAAAATATCTGGACCGTGGAAAAAGAAAAAAAAAAAAGGAATAGATCATGTTCATTATCGATTCTAACCTTTAGTTCAATTAAAATTAAATCGAAAAAAAAAGGGAAAAAGAAATTGGACCATTTCTCGATTTATGCGGGTTATCATCCTTTCCTTTTTTTTTTTTCCTTTTCAAAAATAATCCTGGAATGCGCAGGAGATCATGGTTATCCCCTCTTCAGTAATAACGCTCACGAGTGTGCCAAAAAAAAAAAAAAAAAAAAAAAAAATCCCTCGTCGTACGTACCGTTGCAATCCAGTTTTAACGGCTGAGAGGTTCCGGGACGAGGTCCCGCTAGCAAAGAGGATTCGATTGAATTCCTGAATCTGGACGTGTTCGTTCGAAAGGTCCAGAGAATGGAGATTGAACTTTTTTTTCTGAATCTCTTCTCTAAAACCATCCAGATTCAGGCGCTTAATCCAATCCTCTTTGCTGATGGGACCTGGCCCCCGAATGATTCCAACTACAATGTCGACAGATCGTCGTTGTAGTAATCCGACTATTTAAATCGTTTATTCGTATCATCATCGCTACCTTAAAAATCACACAGTTCCTTTCGGGAGAAAAATAAATCGAAGTAATTATCATACAATAATTTTCTTTGGCCGTACATAAATTAATATAAAAACATATCACATCACGATGCCGTCATTATTATGCTCCCCCCCAAAAAAACATAAATATTGTGCATACGTTGCCCTTTTCTCCCCTTCGGCCAACGGTTCACGGGGGAGTTGTATTTGACGGTACTGCGCTGCGATTTCAAAAAAAAACAGCATCGTGATGTGATATGTTTATATTAATTTATGTTTGACGGGCAGGGGGGGGACGGGCAGGGGGGGGAGAGGACAACAAACGAGGGGCTGCGACAAAATGTATATATACATCGTCAAACAGAATATATAGTAGTATATCTAGTAATAGCTTACACAGACGGCAACCTGACCACAATGCCCTCCGATCGTCGTAGTAATACGGTAATAATAAGATATTATTAATTATTGATTTATTACTCTTATTTATCATATAAAATAATATTTTTTGCATCGCACATCTAAGTCAAAGCCAGCTAAACTACCAAAGCAGCCTCCAAGGCTGTCAATCCCCACTCCCGCCCACTGTACTCCTCCGACTGACAAACAAGCTCTACCTACCAACCATACTGGCGACGCACCCACCCACCCACCCGGCCAAGTTTAAGAATATCACACACACACACACACACACACACACACACACACACACACACACACGCACGCACACACGAACGCACGCACACGCATGCACGGACACGTGCGCATACACGCGCACACGCACACCCGCACACCCGCACACACGCACAGCGCTTCCCTCCTACACCTCTCCCCCCTGCGCCCCCCAACAAAGACACACTCCACCCAATCCGAGACGACGTGCGTAGCAGATCATCTCATGCATACTTCACCACACACACACTCTCTCCCCTCAACCATACACACACTCCACTCTCACACACACAACACACACACACACACACACACACACACACACACTCCACTCTTCGAACATATTCCCACACAGCGCATAACTGCTTGATCTTATTGCCTGATGCCAGCATTTCCCCAAAGAAAAGAACTTCCAACGGCGCCATACCTTCCCTTCATCTTCGACAAACTTGACCAGCAAATTGTGAAGTGTCGGCTCCCCTTCCTGCAGGTAAACGACCGACACCGCGAGACGTCAACATCATTACCGTTCCATATTCCTTACATTGCATATACCTTCTACACGTGTGACACACGATTTATTTTATTTTATTTTATTTTGACACACGATTGTGCGCTCCCTATCTTTGCTCCTGAAAAGAGCATAAACGCTGATTCATCGAGCTCTCCAGACGAAGAGAATTAGAAGAGGGGGGGGAGG